ATTACAGAAATTTTTCTCATTTGTATAAAGTAATTATTATATGCATAAGCACAACTAGAATCAATTTTATTTCATGCTACACACAAATATGTAGCATAACTTCATTTTTATTTATAATTAATTTTAATATGTATTTGTATTTTATAAAATTTTTGATACGGTTAAATTATAATTCATATATATAAAAATATTAACCGAAAATGTTTGAAAATAAAGATATTAATTATAAAATTATTCAGAATAATAAAATTTTTAAATTGATTTATTATTCGACAGATATTATCGCGTTAACTATGATGATGAGAATTGGCAAAGAATTTCAAATTATCTAAACTCTGATAATTTTATGAAAATTCATGTTCTAATCGTGCCCAAATTATCGATGACGCAATCATTTAGTGTAGCGGTCACCTCAAAGTCTCTATATTCTTGAGTATCACATCGTATTTGGTCAAGAGAAGATTATATACATGGTATCCTATGTTTAAAAGCTCTGGAACACATGTTTAATACTATTCCTATAGCAATGCTGGAACCAAAAAATTATAGATTTAAGGTAATTACTAATAGATTTCAATGTAAGTGTTACATTTCAGATATTTGCATATACTCTCATTCGTCACAAAAATTAAAATACAATCTGAAAGAATATCCAGCAACGATAAAATTTTACATATTATTACCTCGCAAATAATGTTGCAAAGAAATCAGTTTGAATAATCCTCACGCGAAGAACAGTCCCCAAAATGATGATTTTCACTATTATCAATAATATTGATATATGATTTGTTAGTGGATACATAGCTGGGTGCTGAAATCTTTGTCAATGAACTATAATTATAAACTTACAAACAAAAAAATATATATTAAACTACTTTTAGAAAAGAAAAGAAACATGTTAAACAAGGTCTTGAAAGAATTGAATATGAAGAAATTCATGATATAGACGAACTTAGAATATATGTTTGCGACAAGAAGCTGCAAAATGGGCATGTTTTCTCGGTGAAATTGATTGTATGAAGAAGCCAACGATAAATTAAAACAACATCTCCAAGATCCTATAAACACAGGTAAATTATGTTACATATTTTTATGTTTTCTCAATCAAATTTCCTTGTAGATATCTCCTATAATGTTCAAATGAAGTTAATACGAAAACCTTTAATAAGAAAATTAAATTCTATTTATATTTTAGACTTTTGCCATGGTGGAAGACATGGACATATTGTAGAGGTTTGATGATAACTACGAGATATGCGAAAACTTTTGGAACAGTGTATACTAGAGGATTGAACAAAACTGACATTAAATTTTCAGAATATTTGGCTTGCATTGAAGATACTGAGTTAATCAAAATGTATTTAACAACAATAGATAAACAGATCACTGATACAAAACAGAAAGATCAATTTCTCGTTAATAGTTTCTTACATTTTATTACGAAGCATGTGAAAAATCCAATTATATTGACGTATATATTAGATAATTTTCACAAAATAAAACCCAAGTAAAGTAACATATTTTTATAAATATTTTTACAAAAGTTTATTATATGTATTATATATATACATCTGATTTTTTTTGTTTTTAGAAATGTTAATATAATTGCAACATTAATTATTATGATTAATAACGTATATTTCGAATATTTAGCTGAGGTAAAAATTTTAACATGTTTAAATATGTATACAAAATGATAATAATGCGATATTAATAATTATTATTTAATGTTTAAAATAATTTTGATAATGTTACAATAACGTTGTTTAGTAATAATGGTATTAAAATTATTCATTTTAGAAATAATGACGAACGTTTACAGTATTCTAGAAACTAACTTAGTTGAAGTAAATAACACAATTAGAAGCCATCAAATAAAAGAGGTAAATTAATAAATATAATTATAAACAGCGATAGAAAATGAAATATTGTTCTAGCTTATTACTTTCTAAAGATCATTTTTATATTTGTTTTATTAGTTATATAAACAGTTTGTTAATTTCAGTATGCAAATCTTTGTTTATAAATATGAATTCATAATGCGGAATGATATTACTATTTATTTAATTTTTTATTATTATTAATAAAACTATTTGTTTCAGATGAGTGACAATGTAATTCAACAGATATACAGTCGAATTATGGACCGGGTTTCATTTCGCAAAAAACAAATCGAGAAGCAGACACAATATATTTTGAAAGTTTTTTCTTCTAATCGGTGGATGTAAAATAAATTGCAGCTTTTTATATGTGGACATATCTCATATGAATTTTTTTCATATAATTTTTTTATTTTGTACGTACTACTTCTTTTACTGCTTTAAATATTGTTTATTTAGATGTACTATCTGATGCTTTTATATTTATATTTATAAAATTATATGAATGCATGCATCAAAATTTTCATTCTTTTGCAATCTTGTTTGAACCAGTTAAACTATATATTATTACAAAAATTAATTAATTTGTACATTTATTATTATTAATTATGTAGAATTTGTGATGGATTAGCATTTTCTTAGTTTACAATAAATAACATGACAATTCTCTCTCTCTCTCTCTCTCTCTCTCTCTCTCTCTCTCGTAATGTAAATCCCCATATTAATTTTAAAAAGTTATTAATATTAATATTAATATTCATAAAATTATATAGCATAACTTTAAAATTGTAGAACATAATTTAACATTCCTAGCTGAGAAAAAATAGATTTGAAAATACTGCAAAATGTGTCAATCTAAATTGTAACTTACAATTATATTTAAAAGAAATTTAAGCAAAACTAGAAAAAAAAAATATTTTAAAACGTTTGTCACAAGTTGATGGTTGCAATAAGTGCGCGTCTAACATGTGCTTCGTCCAATCAACGCGATAAATTTTAATATTATAAAATTATTTTATTATTTTATTTAACTTTCCATTATTTCGTTTCTTACTATTTTTAATGATAAATGTCGAATCTCTTTTAGCAAAGTAAAATTTGTACAACAATTTTGTAACAAGAACAAAAAATTTGAAAAAGATCGGAAAACAATTAAAATATTTTAAAACCTTTCTGTAGTTCATCGATTAGAATATGAAAACGGAGCTATACTATGTAATATACGCACATATTAACGTATACTTAATTCAAGATTCGTAATATTCAAATAATTTATGACACATAAAAATTTATCGAATAAAATGCCTTTAAAATTGAAAAATATTATAATTTACACATAAAAGAAAATAAATATCAGACTAAACACATGTCTGTGTGTGTAAATTTGTAGTACGCATTTTTAATAGATATTTATGATTGATTTAATACTTTAATTGATATTTGAGTAATTGTGACACTTAACATATAATACTGTAAAAAAGAAGAATCAATTATTAATTACTTCAAATTTAAATAAAAATTAATGATAATTTAATTTAATTTTTACTTATACAATTAAAATGAATTTAATGTTTTACATATTGCCAAAAATAAAAAAATGACAAGTATAAAAGAGTACCACTGCATTGGAAATATTATTAAATTAAAAAATATTTTTATTTTTATACTGCTATATAAATCATTTATATGATACAAATAAATAATTATCTGTTTTGAAAAGAATTTTTTTACATCAACACATTTAATCGATATTATTAGTATCAAATAAATGATTTTTATTATAAAAGAGTATTGAGATCGGAAAGTCACGATTTATATTCAAAATTGTATTCTATTTTGGCTTTATTCTCACAGTTTGTTTATTTAGTATATATATAATTTGAAAGATAAGTAAAACAAATTTTGAAAAACATTTTGTATTAATTTTTTACAAAAATGTTATATGAAAATATATTATGTATTCACTTTTTAAAGAAATGTTATATGAAGATATGAATTTTATCAGTTATAAATCTTTATAGTTTGGCGCATAGAGTACGATGTCATAAACAATGTATTAAAATTTTAAAATTAGATAAAATTGATATAAACAGACGAAAACATAGTACATATCGCGATTAATAAATAATCCGCGCGATTATAATATTTACGATATTATAATATATACTTATATATACAGGAGTAGGTACAGTATAAAGACACAGTATTGTACATAAAGACATGAATAATTAAAAGTATGTTTTTAACAAAAAAATATAAAGTGTTCCATTTTAAATTAAGTATTGTTGTAATTTCATAACCAAGGTTTCTTTTTCGAAAAATATACTTTATACATTATTTATAGAATTTGGAAAAGCGCGTTGCGTCGTAAGTATATGGTCTTATTTCAGATGGAACATTGTTGAGATTTGATAGTAATCATTGATTTTTAAACGTTTTATGTTTTTTTCTGACACAAATATGAAACATCTTGTAATGTATTTATCTTCCAATATTGTTTTATCTAAATAAACTTTTGCACAAAATAATGTGGATAAATTGATTGGTATAAGAAAAACATTCCAGTGATTTTAAAAAATTGCAATTCGTAGCAATGTGCAACTACATACATTTTTTAAATAATGATATATTTATAATAATTGAATTCTATTACTATTTTGTGCAAAAATTATTGAGATAAAATTATCGAAGGTTGAGTATATGACGAGAAATTACACAATATTTTTAGCAAAAATGTTTGTTGAAATAAATCATATAAATGTGTATAAACAATGCCTAATTATTTGATTAATTGGGCAAAAGTTAAATGTGCTAAATTAAATCAACCGTTACACACAAATGCCGCCATACACTCAAATATATATGTATATATATATATATATATATATATATATATATATATATATAACGACCTTAGAAGTTTTGTTGATTTAACACATCATATTTAGCATAAAGACACGTACGAAAAATCAGTCAGTCCTTCGTGGTCTTTCGAACCACGTCGCCATAGATATAATATTGTACTTTTAATAAAGTGTGTGAATATATTATATTCTTTCAACATTGCATACTTCGAAAGCATTAATTTGCTGCAGTTTATTTTTAAAACAATATATAGTTTTAATCAATATAGTTTTTCAATTAACATTCTGTTTCGAAATATTTGGTAAGTCAGAAGAACTTTCTTACATACAAAACATGTGTCTACAAATGCTAAAAAATTTAATCATACGGTAGGACGGAATTTTATAAAATTTTCAACATATGTATAGGAATAAAGAGAATAGTTTTATTCAAAATTATTTGTAAATTTTAATTCAGAAATAATTTAAAATAATTTTATTTGTTCTTTCTTCAGCGAGTTCGCTGAGTGACATGTTATCAATGCCAATATCGATTAAGCTGTCCGTTGTTATATTTGGCTTGTTTTGATACTTTGTCTTTACCTGTTTATTATGATTCTTTCGCTCGTTGTCATATATATACATATATTCGATCGCTGACTTTCGTTCTCAATTCGATTTAATATTTTAAAATAAAATTGAAATATGAAATAAATTTTATCGCCACAGTTGAAATAATCTTGAACCCACAAAAGTTTGATATCGAATATTTTATTGTAGAATATAATATGTTCACAGTTTTTAATTTTAAGTACACTTGAGAAGGACCAAAACCCATGGTCGAAACGTTGGGTGGTGATTATTAAATATTTATTAGCCAGTAATGGTCGTAAAAATTAATTATCCTTTCAAATATATTAAAAATAAAAATTATTAAAATTTAGTTTTTACTTATTATTAAGTTGTATTTCTCAAACGTATTAGTATTCTACTATCATTATATATACAAAGAATAGAATTCAAAATAATAATTCGGCTAATTAAAATTATGATCATTTTTATAGCATCAAGCAATTGTCATCGCAAAAATTAACAACTTGACAATTGTATAATGAATAATAGAAATAATATCAAAAGCGTGCGCCAAGCGCGCTCTTGTGTCGTCTAGTGATTTAAAAAACACATCAATACTATATTTAATTTCTTTATTTGTCTTTTGCTTACAGTGTTTTACAGACCTAAAATAAATTTTTCGACACGATGATATTTTTACTATTAATTAGCGGAATAATGTATATCGTTGGGACGGCTTCTACTCCTAATCAATCGTCTTTATGCTATCAACCATCAAAATATATAAAACCAAATCATTACGATATCAAGTTTATATCATATATTGAAAAATACATTTTCTATGGAGAATACAATATTAGCATAAGCATTCTTAACAAAACGCAAAATATATTAATCAACAACATATATTCAGTAAAATTATATTTAAAAAATATAGTTTTAATTAATAATTTAGAAAAACATCATGAGAATATTAAGTATACAGTTTATAAACCGATATATGATATTGAAGAAGACATAATTGACCTTTCTTTTAAGGATGAATTATTACCAGGAAATTACACTTTATATATTAAATATTTTGGTTTTACTGATAAAGTCTTTAAATATTTTAATGTGAAAAAAGAAACCTCGTAAGTAAATAATATATGTTTATTAAAATTAATGTGCAATGTGCAATTACATGCAACCTCGTAATTAATATATATTATTTTTGTATTAAATGTTTCAAAGATTATTATATATCATGCAATTTAAATATAAAGACTACTAATTTTATACCTTTAGTGCATATTATTACATATTACATTTAAACATTTTTAAATTCCAACATTTTGATGCTTGCTAAAAATGTTTCATTAATTTATGTTTTTTGAAATGTATAGTTTGGTAGCTGCTACTAATTTGCATATAATAGGCACCCGACAAATGTCATCGTGTTGGGATCAACAGTATTTATTAAAAGCAACTTTTAACATATCTATAGGATGTAATCAATGCACGGCTTTGTCAAATATGCCATTGCGAAATACGGAAAAATTAAATGAGAACAATATATCATTGACATATTTCGATACCACACCTGCAATGTCGCCGTATTTTGCAACAATATTTGTGTTCAATTATTTATTAAGTATTGATAATTATACTCAAAAGATTAAAATGTGGTGCAGAAACGAAACTGTATTTCACATGGAATTTGCAAAAAATGTAGCTGAAGAAATCACGTTGTTGTTCAAAAATAAATGGATACTACATTCGAACATTATTTCAAATGTGACTCATGTTGCAATACCAAATTTTTCTGATAATGACATAACAGTTTTGGGACTTGTTTTGTATAAGTGAGTACAAGTACTTAAAATTACTTTAATAAAATCGAACATGTACAGGGTTCCGAAAGTAATGCGTCGCATTTTTTAAAATTTATTGATCGCATAGGTAAAACTTAAAATTGTTCGAAGTATGTTGCAATACCAACGCGATTTTGCGTCATAAGATAACTCCTTGACATAACAGTAGCTTGTGTTGTCAACCGACTTGTTGTCCTTTGTATAAGTGAGTACAAGTACCGTAATAAAAACTTACTTTCTAAAAGTCGATAAGTTCATAATATTAGCGCATAAACAATTGCAAAATTATAAAATTGAAAAAAATGCGACGCATGTGTATGTATATCTTTAATTCTGTAAATGTGCGAAAGTATAAGTTATTGTAAAAACAACAATTTTAAATGGTAAAAATTAAAGTAAGAAAGTCGAATGTCAGTAAGATTAAACCAATGGGAATATATTTAAAACGACCATCTGGCTATTATTAATAGTGTTGATTTATTTGTGCAGCAACGTTTCGACCCTGAATTGGATCTTTTTCAGATTAATCAATACAAAGAAAATTACAATTTATATAATACAAATAAAAAATTTTAATAAATGATATACAAAGAGCAACGTCAAAAAATATATAATAAAAATATAAAAATTATCAAAGTTAATAAATAAAAAGTAACCTGATGTTAAACGTCAATGTTAATTAATACATCTTAAATAACGAGATAGTAGGTATTTGTTTACAAACGTGATGTTAACAATGTTCACTATGAAGCGATACAAAACAAAAGAAATTTCGTTCTTTACTTCACATGTGCACTTAAACATGATTCAACATTAACTGATATAGTTATCAGAAATGTCAAATCCGAGCAAGGTGACAAAAATAACTACAATACATCTTATAAAATAATAAAACAAAATAAAAAGAAATAATTCAAAAACAGTAAAAAGAAAACAAACAAGTCAAAGATATTAAAAAGCGTTAATAATAGTGTTATAAATCGAATTAAGATTGTCTGTGTCCTTTTGCAAATTAATAGAGTCGTTGTGTCTTTTAATATAAATTATTTCACAGATTTCTCTTTTTCTAGTATTACATTTATTATGCAAAATGGACACAGACTCCCAATTAAAGTCGTGATTGTGAGTAATTATTCGGTGATTGCTGATCACCGAATAATTACTTTCATGCTTTTTAATATTGCTGCGATGTTCTTTAATACGCCGTTTCTAAATGACGCTTAGTTTGACCAATGTAACACGCCGAGCAATCCTTGCAATCAATTTTATAGACGACGTTCGTTCTTTTGTTAGATAAAAGTTTATCTTTCCTTTTTTTTATTATGCTATTGAGCCTCTTAGAAACCGTATATAAATTAATTTCTACTTTTTGTTATATGTTGACTCACACGTTTGTGAACAAATATCTACTATCTCATTATTTAAGATGTATTAATTAACATTGACGTTTAACATCAGGTTACTTTTTATTTATTAACTTTGATAATTTTTTATATTTTTATTATATATTTTTTGACTTTGTTTTTTGTACATCATTTATTAGGGTTTTTTATTTGTATTATATGATTTGTAATTTTCTTTGTATTGATTAACCTGAAGAGGACCCAATTCAGTTTCGAAACGTTGCTGCACAAATAAATCAACACCATTAATAGTAGCCAGTTGATCGTTTGAAATATTTTCTCATTAGTAAAAATTAAGTTTATTCGTATTATAACTCAAAATATTGTAGTTTATTGTTCTAATATATACAAACATAAAGGTAAACATTTTTATGCAATGTCGTATCCTTTAAGATAAATTTTAAAATTGTAATAAAGCTATAAAAGAAATGACATTTTTTTATTCATTAAAACTAAACTGCTTCATCAATGATTTACGCATTAACACAAAATCATTGTTTTATACTTAAATTAAAAATTACAAAAAATATTATTTGTTACAATTTACAATATTGATTTGCTAAATTGTACCCATGAGTTTGTAAATCGTACATCTAACAATAAAATTAAAAAATTATTACAAAAATAAAATTGTATTAACTATAAAAATACTCAGTCTAACATTTAAATATTACTTTCAGCGAAATGGATATTGTTTACGATAAAAATTTATATTCTGTTGCTCACAAAATCGAAGTAGCTCAATTAGTCGGACATAAAGTGACACAGCAATGGTTTTATAATCTGAACAATCCGTTTCGATCGTCTTCTTGGTTCAACAAAGCTCTTACTACATTGCTTGCAACATATGCTGTCAATGAGGTTATTCTAAATATTTTTAACGCTATCACCTCCCATTTTCTCGAAAACGATAACATACTTAAGCATTTATATAGCAAGATTTTTGTATATTAAATTATTCTTACAAAATGCATAAATTTTTGCTAAATTATTTTAAAAACATTTAGCAATAAATACATATGTATACAATATTGAACTGTTTTTTAAAAATAATTTTTTTAATATTTACATTCATATAAATATAATGTGAACAATGCAAAGTAAGAAAAAAAAATCTTTTTTAACACCCCCCCCCCCTCCCCACTTTATCTGATATTTTTAAATATTTTAGATTTTATTATTATATTTATTTGTATGTGTATTATAAAATAAAAAAGTGTTTCTTTTTAACATAAAAGAACCGCTAATGATATTAGTATTTTTTTCTAATGCAAGTATTTTTAGAGCGGTTATATCGATATGTTAATAATTTTTTTTTACAGATTTATTCAGATAATCGAATAATAAATTTATTTGTTGTTCAAAATCAACATACTTCTTTTTATTTGGATGGTGATTATCGTATGTGGAATTCTACTTCACAAGATGACAGTTTATCGAAAATTCGCGAATCCATCAGAGGTATATAACGTAATATAATAAAATAATCCGCGTAAATTTTGAACTATTATTATTATAAAAATATGTGTAAAATTATAAGATATTTAATTCTTTATCTAGATTTTATTACAAAAATAATGTTATTAGAGTACACACACACACGCGCGCATATTTATGTACATTCTATAATTAATTTAAGATATATACATATACGTATATGTATATATGTATATATATACATATGCCTGTGTATATATATGTATATACATATATATATATATATATATATATATATACAAAAGGTCCGGTAGTAATCGCGCATGTGTGTAGATAATATTAATTGTTTGGTTCTTTAATATTTTGCTATCTTCGTAAAAATTAACAGAAAATTTATTTTAAAAATAAATAAAAAATTAAAAATAAAGAAATTTTTTTTAATATCACTATGTTTACATATAATCGTTATAATAAATATATATTTAAAATATATCTAATTTATATATAATTTTGATGTAAATTGTAGGACCCTTTATACTGCGCATGATGCAACATGTCTTTACCGAAGAAATATTTTGGAAAAACGTTCGCTCATATACAAATAGCACGTGAGTAAGACAATGCTTTGATATAACACACGTGCAGAAGTTAAATAATACTTTATTATACAATCAGTCGATGTGTATCGTCGAAGAATCGAGCGAGCAAATCTGTCTGCGGCGGTTAATCGGTCGTATTTAGATTCTTGTTTATGTTTCTAGAAGCCTCTTTTAATTTTCGGTTATCACTTTGTCCGACAAGTTCGTCACGGCAATCGCAGTTATTTTCGTTTTACTTATTTATCTTTTCAAAACAGAGCGAGCTAACTCACACTGCTTTGTTTGCGTCTTTTATTATATCGAATTTGTCCTAAGGCACATAAATCCTGAGAACGATAAACGATCGACAGCGGAAAATATATGTTACAATTTAAATATAATATAACGCGTAGATTTTTATTAATTTATTCCTACAATAAAATTATATAAATCTTAAATAATTTATAATCATACAAATTTATATAAATTTAAATAATGTCCTTTATTATTTTGCTTCTTCTGATATTATTTCATATTGCTTTTCATTATTTTGGTTCTATTATGAAAACCGCTTTTGTTGAAATAAATTGTTGTTTTGTCATTTTTTCATATATATATACATATTCATTGTTGTTTTATATTTTTGTTTAAAAATTTACTATTTTTTAAAATAATTTTTTAATTAATTTTTATTCTTTTATTATTTCCTTTATTTCTTTCTATCGTGTATTATTTTTATGTGTTTTTTTTTATTGAATTTTGTGCTACATTCGTTTTTTAATCT